ACAAATGATAAAGGTCGTAGTATTGCATATCAAAAAGCAATTGAAGCACTTAAACGTTGTACACATCCAATTCGTAGTTATGAAGTAAATCAAATATATCTTCATCTATTAATTTATTTCATTTTATTTTATTTTCTTAGGAAATTAAAGCATTACCCTATGTAAAACAATCATTAGCTGATAAAATATGGGAAATTATTCGTACAAATGGACTTGTTAAATTATCTGCATTTCAATCACGTGATGATGTTTCTACATGTAAGTCAATAATAAAAAATAATAGTTAGATGTTTATAAAATTTCTTTAGTGGCTTTATTTGCTGGTGTCTGGGGTGCGGGTACTGAAACAACAAAACAATGGTTTGCACAAGGTTTTCGTACACTTGAAGATTTACGTACACGAGCTCGTCTTACTCGTACACAACAAATTGGCTTAAAATATTATCAAGATTTTAATACACGTATTCCACGAGATGAAGTTACTCGTATTGAAACAATTGTAAATAAAACTTTTTTTTTTAGAAAAACAAATAGAAGTTTTTGATTTAGGTTAAACAAACAGCTGACGAAGTTGCACCTGGTCTAATGATTGAAACATGTGGAAGTTATCGTCGATTAAAACCATCATGTGGTGATATTGATATGTTGATGACATTTAAAGATGGTAAACGACATATACATGAATCTATACTTGCACCATTGATCGAGAAATTACGAGATATTGGTAAAAATTAAATTTATATTTTGTATATATGGAAAATTCTTTTGCTTACAAAGGTTTTCTCATTCATGATTTAATTAATCATTCTGAAACATCATCAACAAGTCATGTTTCCGAGCAGCTAACTTATTTTGGTGTATGTCGTTTATCAGAACCAGGATCACTTGTAAATATAAGAAAAGTTTTTATTTAATTAAAATGAATATTTTATTTAATTAGCATCGTCGTATTGATCTTATATTTGTACCAGCAAATGAATGGGCTTGTTCATTACTTTATTTTACTGGTTCAGATATGTTTAATCGATCGATGCGTCGTTTAGCTCGTCGTTTAAATATGTCACTTTCTCAACATGGACTTTATCATGGTGTTGTACGAAAAGTAAGTCAAATACATATTTATCAAATGTATTCATTTGAATTTATTTAGGGTGTTGAAAAAATTAATACTGGTCAAGCATTGAATACACCGACAGAAGAATCAGTTTTTCTATATCTTAATTTATCTTATAGACCACCAGAAGATCGAGATCATTAGAAGTGACATTTATAAACAGTAGATTAATCATTAAACTTTGCTTCTATATAGATGTTATTTAGTGTTTCCGGATTTGTTAAATGTCTTTTTTTTTGTGTATGAAATAATAATATTAATTAAGTAACAGTTCATTTCTCTATCTACAAATAATATCAGAGTCACCAATGTATTTATGAGAGTCAGTTTTATATTATTCTAGATGTAGTCAAAGAGTGTTATGAACGGAATGTTAAAGTGACGAGCTTTTTCAAGTGCTCGAAAATCTTCAGGATAGTTTCGTAAATTCATTATACATACGGCGAAGATGTTATTCTCGATAGATATTTTAATGGTAAAGCTAAATCAC